TTTAAACATTCCTGTCATCTTTGCCTTCTTTCATAGCTTCCGCGAGCACGTAAGTTTCACTTTACGTGATAGCGATGCCGAAGCTACTCGCAAAAGCACGTCCTTCTGAAAGATGCTCTCAATGCACGAGCGCGCGTGCTTGACAGGGACGCTGAAATCTCGCAGCTTGCTCTTGTAGCCATAGAGTTATTTATAATGTACGCTAGAGGTTCAACTGGCGCTAGCGTCTATGCAACTTCCGTGACGGAAATTGAAGCAGACAGCAACCAGTCTACTTTTGCGGTGCTCCTGTGCATTCCTATGGGAAAACTCGCGTGCAATTTGACTCTTCGCCGGAGAATAACACAGAACACTGTGGTCATTTGGGCCGTACCGAATAGCATGTACCTTGATTAACACTGTAAAAGTGTAAATGCTTTGGTTAGCGCATTTTTCTTCATCATTGAACGATATTTAACTTCGCTACATTTCAGTCCCAAACGTGTGTTCCGCAGCAGGTGTGTAAAAACAAGCGACGATTCGATGCAAAACTACAATCGAAGCGAACATAGAGTGTGTTCAAGGCTCGCCAGCATTCCGGTGACGCTTGCATATTGATAATATGCCAGTCCAGTCACTATATGGAAATGATCCCGTCGTGCATGAGCGGATAAAAACCTTCAAAACGTAGAGAATGAGTCCGTGGGGGCTATGAAAGGTGTCTCTTCGTATTGTTGTCTCTGCCGGGCAACTTTTATCGCTCACTTGTTCTCAAAGATATCGAGCGCGCGGGTGACATTTCGAACGTAGAACAAGTAGCTTCGCTCAGGGCAAAAAGAATAAAGAGGTACTCACTTATTTAAAATCGGACTAGATTATGTGGCCTTCAATTTATTGTGATCGTACATGCACTGTGAGTTACTGATCCAGTGTTGCTGCGTAGTTCTTGCGCTGGCTCTTGATTTTCCAGAAGTCCTTCGTTCGTTTGGCATGTGTATCCCCCATGCTGGAAATCGCCGACACCGTGTTCGCGCTAACAGTGACCGACAGTGCACGTAAATACACGTACGAAGCCGCTTTTGCACCGTTTTAATGCGATGGATTCAAAAGAAAAATGCCGTAACCGACCAGTTATTTCGTCGGCCTGACTGGGAAATGCTCCAAGCTACCTAGTACGTACAAATTATTTGGGTTATTTGCTCTTATGATCGAGCGCAGGGAGAAAATGCACTCACTTTTTCCCATAGAAATGCATTACCGGAAGTCAATTTTCAACTAGCGCCACTTGAACCTCTAGCGTACATTATAATACCTCTATGCTTGTAGCCTCCGCTACGCTGGAACTTAGAATGGAACGGAGTAGAAAAAAACTCTAGTGGGGAAACGCATTGACGCATATTCGAAACCCGAGCCAAATATTCTATTTTGCTCGCCTGGAGCGCTACTCAAAACTTGAGAGCTACGGGTCTATCACCTCGTAGTTCAGATCTCCAAGTTAACGAAGTACCTTGTAGGGTCCGAAATACCGTTTCAGGAGTTTCTCGCTGAGACCACGGCGGCGAATCGGTGTCCAGACCCATACCCGGTCTCTGGGCTTGAAGTGGACGTTCCGACGACGAAGGTTGTACCGGGTAGCGTTGACACGTTGTTGATCTTCGATTCGGAGTCGGGCGAGCTGGCGAACTTCTTCGGCTCCTTGAGCAACCACTTGGGCGTCGGGGCTTCCATCGTCAGCTGGTTCGCGGGGTGGCATCGCGTCGAGCACGGTCGTTACTTTCCTGCCATGCACCAGCTGAAAGGATGTCACCCCGGTGGTCTCTTGCACGGCCGTGTTGTGGGCAAATGTAACGTATGGCAACACCTCGTCCCATGTCTTGTGCTCCATGTCGACGTACATGGAGACCATGTCGGCGATGGTTTTGTAAAGTCTCTCTGTCAGCCCGTTGGTCTTCAGGTGGTGCGCCGTGGTGCGCCGGTGGCTGGTGTGGCTGAGACGAAGGAGTTTTTGCGTCAGCTGGGCCATGAACGATGATCCACGGTCTGAGATCAGAACTTCGGGAGCGCCGTGCCGGAGGACGATGGATTCGATAAAAAAACTTGGCGACTTCTAGAATTATAGGATTTACAAGAAAACTAAATTGCAGGAATAACAGAATATGCGTCGCTCCCATGAATCGAACCCTGGTTTTTCGCGTGGGAGGCAGGCACGATAACCGTTAGGCCACGCGCGCACTGCCTCCTTGGCCAGCTGCGCGCGCGGCAATATTACTTTGGTAAAAAGAAACAAAAGCACACGACACGTTTTTAGTTTTTAAGCAAACAGCACTGTATACGCCGACCAATAAAACAATACGAATGTAGAGTTATATCTTTTTCAGGGGTCTTTATTGTCTTTATAATTTGTATAATTTCAGGAGAAAAAGAAAATGGTGAACTTTTTTATATTCTAGGTATCGCGACCGTATTTTCGGCCACTTATTAATAATTTTACGACAACAAGCAACGGGCGTTTTTTGCCATCGAGATTAAGCTTGATTGATTTTGAGCGTCAATCATGGGGCAACGGGGGCGAAAGCCGCACACCGGCACACGGACAGCCGCAGCTTTCCTTGCTGTCTAACGACCGCCGTGAAACAACGTGAGCTTCGAAAAACGCACTTGGCGGCAACTACAGCTTTAACGAATGATTTCGAGAAACAAACTTTTTCTTTATAGTCCGCACCCTCAGAATGTCGGCACAGCGTGCAATATCAACTTTGAAACATGCATAGTCCGCACACCTATGGTATGAAACATACGATTGAATAATCCATTCTATATCATATATCGAATAAATTTCAAAATAGTCTCTTCATCATTATTATTACAGTGTCCGAAAAAAAAAAACAAACAAGGCTCATAAAAAAAAAGGGGGCTGCAAAAATTGTTTAGGTGTATGTTCTCCCCTCTGATATCCTAATGCTTCTAAAGGATGTTTGAAGCAACTACACGCACTGACGCGATGCTGCATACGGTCACACTTGTTAATATTTTGTGCAAGTGGAGTTGAAAATGCGCTCTGAAAATACTTTTGGATAAACTCAAACGAATAAAAAAAATGGCGAGCCATTCCAACTTGTGATGGTGAGGATGGCGAGCGTAGACGTGGCCGACGCGGGTCACATTGCAGCAAATCTTAAAAAAATCCTTTATTATCTACCTGACGGCCTAATGATCTCGAAAATGGTGCTTATTGATAACCAATCTACTGAATAGACCTATTGCTAAATTACTCAAGCATCAAGGAGAATGCAGGAAATGTTGTCCCACGCGCCGCACGCGCCGGCGTCTGCAGCAGTAACTGTTCTAAAGCAAAGGCCTAAAACAAATTGCATCTTGCACGCGCGCTTGTCAACGATTTTTTTTAGCTACTTACTTTCATTCTTTTATTCGGGGAAGGTGTGTGCGTGCGGCGCGTGCGGCGGTGCGAGCGTAGAGTTTTTAGTTACTGCACACGAAAAGCCACGGAACCCTAGCCATAAACAGCTTCGCTGTAAAAAGAGGGCTTTCTATTGGCCTCGAGACCCAGATCGAATTGTGTGGAAGCGTGCTTTTGTTTGTCCATGGTTGTCTATGAGGCACGTGGTGATTCTACCTGTCCATAATGCGGGTGGAAACAAAGAATCCACACTAACGGCACGGAATAGGGGGGATCGGTGGCCGAGTGGTCTAGCCTACACCAGCTCGGAGCACGTGGAACGAAAGCTCGCGTTGGAGAATCCAGGATCCTGGGCTCAATCCCCACCTCTGCCCGTCTCGGTCTGGATGAGCATCGTACCGGCGTACTGCGTGATGTACGTTAAAGACCCCGGGCAAGCGGTTGTGCTGCACAGGAAAAAATTTCTCATCTACAGCTGGAAAACTCGTCACCCGTTGAGGCAGACCAAGTTGTAGGCTTTATAAACATACAGACAACATAGTTGTGTGGCTCAGAGTACGGGCAAGGGTACGGAGCACGAGCTCTTAGCAGTAGGTTCCAGTGCGCGAGCGCTGCATTGGCGCCTGACGTGTCTTCGGCCTCTCGTGCGTGGCATTCCTCTCGCTCCAAGGAAGTGTAAAACAAAGCGTAGTTCTGCTTTTCACCATATATGCCGTGTCGATCAAATCTCGAAGCGAATACCGCTTCTCCTCACGCCAAAGGTTGTTTCGTATCAGTTGCTATTATCAGTGTATAGATATCGAACATCGAGCCGATCTCTACGGTTCATACCTTGCTGGTCTCAAAGCTCCAATGAACATTCCATGAGCAGTATCAATGCACTATAACCCGGTGATTGTCGTCGGTTGTCGTTTGTATTAGGCGTAGTCCGTCTGGTGACACTGCGCGCGTCCCCATGGGGGGACTCGCCATCTTTCTTGTCAGGCGCGTGCTGACGCAGAGCGATGACACCACACCAGGATTATGGAGAGCCAGCGACAACTTCAATGGAGGGCTTATTTTTGTCATTATCATAAAAAAGCACGTTGGAAGCTCATCGCATCCTTAATTTTGAGCAGATGAGGTGATTTGACGTCGTGTCACATCAAGATGCTCGGTCCCTTACGAATCGACGCAGAGCGCTGGTTGGTTCCGTCAACGTCGTCGAGTATGCTTTGTAAATAATTTAAATAAATATCTAGTTGCCCTTCGAAATGCACGATAGATGATAAAGCTTTAAACCCGAGTCAAATTGCCTACAAATCATACAAAATACAGCATGCAAACATCAGTCACTCGATAACCGTGGTTCGAATTCCGCGTGCCAAAATTCTCCTTGAACTCGTTTCCATGCGGCATTCTAAGCACGGATCTCGCGGTGACCAGTGGTCGGTCGAATCTGTTTACAGACTGTTCCTTGCGTGATTTACAAGCAGTGTTACCCCGGCTTGAGGCAGCTGGGCAACCATACTTTTACGCACCAAGATGCATGAATAGTCCTTATTCTGAGGCATAGATTTCTTAGGGTCTCAAGGTGGCACGTAGAACTTAACTTTACACTTACCATGCTTGAGCTCGTCCCTGGTCACGGCTAAAAGCAAAAAAATGAGCTGAATGATCGGGAAGCAACAGTTCCGCCTATTATATGTGGACTGGGAGCAGAAGCAGTTTACTAAGAAAAAGAAAGAACCCGATACGATCAATTCTATGAAATATGCTCGATAAACGGGCTAAAGAAATCCTGCCTGCATAGTAAGGCTTTATCGACAATGTGCGTCAACATTTCCTGCTACATTTCCAAGGCTGGCCTAGTATCGATCCGCAATGCTGCAGCTCTGTCAGAGCGCATGAGGAGGAAGAGCGTGTTATCTGTCTCGACACCGCCCGCGGCGATAACAGAGCCCGCCTTATGAACCTGTACTGAACCTCCGAAAAAAAAAAAAAAAAGCTTTTGATGTGTTTTTTTTTTTCTTTTTTTTTTTTTGGTGCTACGTCACCAAGGCTAGCGTAGCTTGTACAGTCTCCGGCAATATGAAAGACCCACTGGGAGCGCGTAGCCGAGGCCGTGGCTGGCGGGGGCGCTGCAAGCGCTCCGGGCAGTTCCGTTCTGCTTCGAGGGGAGGACGCTCACTCGGGGCTCAGCAAAAGCGCGCGTTTATCAGTTTGTGCTGAGCCCCGAGTGAGCGTCCTCCCTTCGAAGCAGAATGGAATTGCCCTGAGCGCTCGTAGCGCCCCCGCCAGCCACTGCTTCGGCCACGCGCTCCCAGTGGGTCTTTCATATCGCCGGAGACTGTACATTACTCCAAGGGCCCTAAACATGTCAAACACGAAGTTGGACCAGAAAGTTCGCGGAGCGCGACGATTGGATGTCGGCGAAAAAAAGCGCGAAGTCATCGTCGGGATAGGCCAATCGGTGCGCTTTGTCAACTTGGGTCCCAACTTTGTGTTTCACGAGCTTAGAGGCCTAAGGGCCGGTTGCACCAACGCCGCTTAGCGCTAAGCGGAGCTTAGCCGGGAACTTAAGCTAAGTTTCGGTTTCGTTCGGTTGCACCAAACTCGCTTATCGCTAAACCTAGCACTAAACTACGCTTAACTTAAGCGCTCAACATTGGGCGCTTTGCTTTTGGTTGTTTCTTAATCCTGGATTAAAAACATGGCGGCTGGTTTGTCGCGGTCGACGCGGTGGACGAAATTGGTTGTGCAAAGTGTTTTAGGCTACATCAGCGTGAAAGTCTCGACAAAATGACCTTCGATTGTGACAAGGATGCAAAATATTGTCGCGTGAAGTGTTTATCGACCCCTGTTTTCAAGTTGGCTCTCCACTCTCAGGGCGTGTTAGCCCTAACCGAGATACGTACGGAGTTGTGTGTCTGTGGGGCTCACGGGGCTCACGTCTGTCTTTCCGTTGGTTCTTCTGTCAACGAGCTTATTCGTATGTACTTACTAATTTTCGCATAACCGTAACGTATTGTTATTTACCACCTTGTTTATTTACACTTGCAGCGCGTATCCTTCAATTTGATCAGCGCGTTGAAACATGACCTCGGCGATCAGCTGATTGTCGACACCTCTGCCGTTCGCATTAGATTCCGGCGCTTTTAAGTAATAAAACAACGAAAATTCAATTTCTTTCGTTTTCTGAGTTTTGAGACAATCTTCAGTGAATTTTCCTAACCTCGCGAGTAGAATCTTGGCTTCAGAAAACTGTATCGTTCCATAACCATAACTTTTTTGGTGATCGCGATTTTTTAGGAATATTTTGCTTTATATCTTTCATTCGTTGCGACGACAAATCGTAACGACTACTATGCTAGATTCGTTCATTGCTGTATCGGGGCAGGCTGGGGCAGGCGATGCGAAGAGACGACTGTTCTTATCGGCATGATGTGATGTACTAGTGGCAGTTTTTTTTTTTTTTTTTTTCTGAACTCGACAGTGTGAAATTGAAGTCCGTTTGAGGCTACAGCGGATGTTCAACGACGGTACAGTGCAGTTCTGTCACCTTGCTGATAGCAACGAGTACCGTCGATGCAAGGTCTCGTGACCTGACCTCTCGACGACTTCTATTCGACGATTTCCGGGCATTTTCGCAGCTGCCGTGGCGAGTTCGTCACTGTTTTGAACTTCATCGGTCTCAGGTTTGACTTGATTTTAGTAGTCATCACTCCTGCCTACTTATATACATGATGTTTTGTCTTCAGCGATGTAGCGAGTAGAGTGTCCTTCTCGCGTTCGGTGAGATTTGGGGCCCCCGATGGCTCCTTCGCTTCAAAATGTGAGCACGAAAACTACTACCACTGTCAAAATAACCTGTTATCAACCGATATTAAACACACAATCACAGATGTAAAGAGCATTCGTGTTTATTTGAAGCTTTGACTTCTCTTATTGAAAGTTAAACGAAAAAATGATTGCATTTGGTGACCTTTAATTTGTTACTCACCGAAGAAATACAGCGAAAAGCAGACGCCGACGACGACTACTACGGCAGTTTTTTTTTTTTTTTTTGTTTACATCACGTGATTCCTCTCCACCAATCGTATTCGTCCCTCTGAGCGTTCCCTAGTTTGCTCTGTTTGTCCCTAGATTCCCTACGCAAATCCAGCGTTTAGCTAGGGGCGCGTCTGTAAAGCCGGCTTAACGTTGGTGCAACCGGAATTTAAACCCGTGCTTACCTAAGCTCGGTTTAGGGCGCTAAGCCGGCTTAGGAAAGCGCCGCTTTAGGTTAAGATAAGCGGCGTTGGTGCAACCGGCCCTTAGTCTGTCAAAGCTAGTTGCGCGAGCGCGTGAGACCGGGATGGACAATCTTTATGTGAGAGGTTCAATGAAATATTTGTTTGAAGTGTCGCAGATCTTAAAGTGACGGAGTTTAGTTACAGCAAGACTTCCAGCGGTCCTGCAGAAAATGATCTACGTCTGATTATATATATATATAAATGTCTTCGGCCAAGACCCCTGGGAATGACGGTGTTCGCTTGAGAGACATCTTGGCTAATTTTAACAAACTTAAATACGTTCTTCTGGAAATAATTAACTAATATATTTCAACGGGTGGAATCCCCTGCGGCATAAAAGTGGCAGTAGTTAGGCCTATCTTTAAAAAAACAGAAGTTAAAAGGACATTTTGAATTACAAGCCATCTATATTTCATCTGTGGTATCTGCAATCATAGAAAAGTTTGTCTTCAAAACACTGACGGCTTTCTGTGAGAAGTATTCTTACGGTGTAATTCCCAGTACGGCTTTCGTCAAGACATAGGCACGCGATCATTACTCAAAGTCAAAGACCTGTCTGATCACATCCACCAAAGTATTGCTCGGATGTGCGGAAACCACGTAAAGCGAATTCTCTCCCTGGAGACGCGCGACCTTTCTCGGACGTGACGTCGTCGTCGCCGAGCTGATCAACGTTGCCATCTCTCTCCAGGGGCACTAATCTGGACACTTAGCGGAAAAGACGGCGAGAAATCTGGCAGCCGTGATTGGCCAGCGCCGCATTTGACCTTGGCGCCTGCCAATCAGAGCGGCCGGATTTCTCGACGACTTTTTCGCCAAGTGTCCAGATTAGGGCCCCAGATGAGATAGTTTTGGTGTCACCGTAGACGCCCGACACGAAATTTGGTGTCGCGATATTGACAAACATACTTTCCATATCGAGGGGAAAAAAACAACAACTTCGTAATTCAGATAAACTGACTGAGCTGAAAAGAGTCCTAATCCAACATTTGAAAATATTGACCGGATCGGGTTGCCCTTTGAGTCCCACCGCAGGCAGTGCCACGGCACGGTGGATCCAGTCAAGTCGCAGCCGAAGCGAGTCGTCATCCTGCTTGTTCTTGATGTACTCTTGCTGGCACCGACCAAAGCAACCACACACACAAAAAAATTCAAGGTTACAGTTCATTTGCTGTGGGTTATTGGTTGTAGTCTAACATGATTCGAAACGGGATATAAACAAGCGCAAGCAGAACGGAAAAGACACGAGAAAACGCACCAATAAAAATATTCAATAGTCAGTGAACTATATACATTTTTCTGCAGATAAACAAACATTACTGACTCAGTTAGCACGACCATCTTTGTGCCTTTTGTGAACCTTTAGCAATCATATGTTGCAGTTTTATCTTTGGACCCTTTTCAATGATCTGTTTGTCTTCAGAGTTGGAACGCGTGCACTCCGGACGTTGATCGCAAAGATAATTTATTCTCTCGAACTCTTTCATTGATACTCCGTCCAGTTTGACCGACGTGCGCTTGTATCTCACAACATATATCCGCCTATCTTGGCCCTCTAAGTGCGATAGCATTCTTCGGGAAATCCCTTCTAGAAAATTTCGTTGTGCAATATGAAAGGCATGCCCATTTCTGTTCGCCTGTTTGCTTTTTTTGTCTTGTTTGCTATTTTATTTTCTTCCTAATAACTTTTAAAGCATGAAATGCTTTTGAACGGATTCTCCCAATCCTAAATATCTGTGCGTCCGTCCGTCTGTTCGTCCTTCTCGCTTGCATTTTCCGCTACATTTAGCGGGGACATAACGTCACGTGTCCTGTTCGCGGCGAGAAGTTTCGGTGTCGCCATCTAGCGGAAGCGCGGCACAACCCAAAGTGAGGACGCCGCCGCTGCTTTTAAAAGCTGAATGGGATTTTGCTCAGTCTGTCTTGCTTGTAACCTTTAATTCTTTTTCTACAACATGTTCTTGCATTCGTCGCGGGCGATTACAAATTCTGCGTCTGGCAGGTCTTCATCCCAGGCTTGAATACTGCTAACTGGAGTGCCCTTATTTTATTTATTTTTATTGTTCTGGACAAAGCACGATTAAGTTGCTCATTTTTTAACTCACTAACGTTTGGTCATGGTTTCCTCCCATGAAAAAAACTCACTAGTTCTCTATCCCGATTGTTGCATATTTAAAAAAACTAGGGACAGTCCTGTACCTGTTTGCTTTTATACATATCCTGGCCTTTACCAAGTTTAATAAATTCAAAAGTGGCACCATGTTTATTTTCCTCGCTAAGTTTAACAAGAAATCTAGCGAAAAGTTTCCAACTGAATTTAACAGGAAAATTTACTCGCTAAGTTTAGCGGGGAAAATATCCCATAATGCA